CAATTTTGATTAGTGGTGTCGTTTATAATGCTTCCAGCCAACAGTGGTGAGAAAAGTAATTCCATACTTTCTTGGTCAAACCGCGGACTCACATCAAACGCCATTACTGGCGAGATAGATCGAAGTGAAAGATGATTCCTTTCGGGAAAAAAAGGGAAGAACAAATGGACGACAACTGTTCTTGCCTCAGCGTTGTCAAAAATCCAACACCTAATAACTTGAGGCGGAAGACATGAAAACTTACTAGCATCAATGTTGTCCAAAGCATTTGTAACACCATCACTTCAGCTTTCCCTTGCAGTTTATGCTCCTGAGTGGAAAAAGGCACTTCGACAGTAAAGTGTTTTGCCTAGACCAGGCCAGGTCTCGATACCCAGAATCCCCACAGGTCTCCTACAGGAGAAATAGGCCATTGCAGAAACGTGAGAGGACTGAGACGAGTTTCTTATATTGATTACATTGAAAATCTAAACATTTCAACTGAGATGTTACTGAATGAAAAGTTTGAGAGTTTTCAGGGGAAAAGTGTCCAAATTGGAGTCTTGCAAAAGTTGCAAAAAGTCTATACAAACCCTCAAAATTTTTTGCCCTGTCTACCCAATGCATACAAACTCTCTATTCTAGGTGATATTTGAAAAGCTGTCATTTTGCCATTTTCCTCCTCTAAATACTTCTATTCTTGCTTAAGACTCTCAAATTTAGTTGATCTTTCATATGAATATCTTAGTTTTTCAAACAAACCGAAAACAACCACACTCTTTCCCAGTCCTCCCACGTTTCCGCAATGGCCTATAGCAAGAATAGCTACAGAGCCGGGGATGTACACAGGCACACCAGCCGTGCGCTAGGAAACGTTTGCGTGTTCATCGTGTTTCTTACTAGGTAATTCAAGTCGCTAAAACTTTTTATTCAGTTTTTCTTTATTTCAGTGTGGGAAAGCATTGTGCTAACTTACCGCCTGCATTCCAGGAAGTTTGTCCGTTCTCTCACCAAACTTGGGGTCACTTCGCGTTAAAGAAATGAAACAGTAAGTACTAGGTAATTGTGTAGTGATTGTGTGGTGATTGTAACACTTCATAATTTAACTATCAAACAAAAATACACCCTCCGTTCTTCGCCATAGTCATGAATCGCAGGTGAGATCACATGCTCTCTCTTCTTCTTCTGTAGATGCAGTTCTTGTCATTTAAAAGGTCACACATTCGTGCGGTTGAAAAGGAATCAATATTTTCATAATACAAAGAGAACGATCGTATCTGTCGTAGACCGTGGATATCGATGATCATGACAGTGGTTATGTTGAAGGGTAACTGGCTTGAAGAACGGCCTGGATAACAGCCGAACGTGCAGCTTGATGGAGGGTACATAAGGGTGGAGAGAGGGTGGGGAAAAGATAGGCCTCAAAGAGACTGTTGTCGGTGACAGTGAATGACGCACAGATCGGTCAGACGACTCTGCGGATGATGACTTCCATATAAGATTTCTGAGACGTAAGCCACAGTAACCGCAACCTTACAGGGACTACCTCTTACGAACATCGGAATACACATTCAACCTGAAAATCGTCACTGTTGTCATGTTTGAGCACAGGTAGCCCAAGCTCTGTCACAGGCTCTTTCACAGCGAGTCATTAAAGAGTTTGTAAAGTGGTTTAGTTGGACTTACTTTTGAGCTCCGTAAATGTAAAGTTGTGTGAAATAATCAAAGACATAAAGTCTTACGTTCGTAGAGAGTAGTCTGTGTTGTTCTCCTCCCGATTTGAGGCCGTTTTGATGTGTTTCAGCTTGACGCCCTAAATTACCGTGCATAAAATACGGGAAGGTCGGAAACTTCTGTTGACACATGCTCGCCAAAATCGCTCGAAAACAACACTTAAATACTTTCCCTCGAATCAAAACTCGGCAGCACGAAAGCCAAATAGTTGCCCTTTAAGTTCACCGAAAAAAATCCCACAAAAGTCGGTTTGTCGAGCAACCAATCCAGCGAGAATTTCAAATTAACGGCCGTTCGGAATTCTTCTAATGCGTGGAAGGAACTTCTTGTGCAGCTGAGAGACCGTTAATGCGCGGTCAACCTGGAACCTAGTCAAATCTCTCTCAACGGGTCCTCCCCATAGTCTTCTAACACCAACTCTTCACACATACTAAGGTACCCCGGGTAAACTCATCGACTTGACTAGATCGTCGATACTGTCCATCTTCACTGTTTTCAATGGATTTTTACAAATATCCTCTTACCCGGGGTACCTTAGTATGTGTGAAGAGTTGGTGTTAGAAGACTATGGGGAGGACCCGTTGAGAGAGATTTGACTAGGTTCCAGGTTGACCGCGCATTAACGGTCTCTCAGCTGCACAAGAAGTTCCTTCCACGCATTAGAAGAATTCCGAACGGCCGTTAATTTGAAATTCTCGCTGGATTGGTTGCTCGACAAACCGACTTTTGTGGGATTTTTTTCGGTGAACTTAAAGGG